ACACTATCGGAGAGGTCAGTCTCTGTGCCGTGTTTTCTTGCGAGGGCAACATGGCGGCGAGCAGAGATGGGGCGTCACGTGGAGAAAGAGACAGCGGCTCTGTATAAACCACCTGCTTCTCGTGGTCAACCTCCATCACCATTGCTCCACTCTCTGCGAAACATACAGCACACTTCAACTAACTCGAATCTACTTGTGAATCCAGACTAAGGGTGTGTGTGTGTTAGGGGTAGATCAGTTTTGGGTGTGATTAGTTACAAAGTAATTCAATTACATTTCTACTGAAAAACTAAAGTAGGGGATGACTTTTTAATTTTTAGGTCATCCAATTGTTGTTACTTATAATGTCCCAGCCTTAAATTCATTAATCTTCTATCGGCTTAGTCGCTTATTATCAGAGGTCGCCACAGTGGAATGAACAGTCAGCTATTCCAGCATATGTTTTATACAGTGGATGCCCTTCCAGCCGCAACCCAGTACTGGAAAACACCCATACACTCTCGCATTCGCGCACACACACTCATACACTACATCCAATTTGGCTTACCCAATTCACCTATAGCACATGTTTTTGGACTGTAGGGGAAACCGGAGCACCCGGAGGAAACCCACACGAACACAGGGAGAACATGCAAACTCCACACAGAAATGCCAACTGACCCAGCTGGGACTCGAACTAGCGGCCGAAAAAAAATATGTGAGGAATTTGTTCACAACTACATATTGTATCATTTCAGAGAAGTAGAGTAATTGTAAATATGTGCTTTTGTTATTCAGATATTTTGAATATTAACTTTAAATATTAATTTTTCAACTAAAGAAGGTTTTATTTGTCCAACAACTGAACATGCTTAGGAAACAAGAAAAATGTAAAGTTATGCCACAATATGATATGTAGGAAATATGATGCCATTACTTTAGATGTTTGTGTTTTGATACATATATTGTTCATATTTCAGTTGTTCATTTTTAAAAACAAAAATTAAAAAGCCTTGTTTGGCTCAAATGTGAAGAATTAAGTGTTAAGTTTATATTGTTTATAAATTGATATTTATGTGGATTAGCGTTTAGAAGCAATTCAATTACTTAATGAGTAAATAAGATACTTTTCAGACAAAATAGTTGAAAAAGTAATGGGAATACAATTGTAATGATGTAATTAGTTATTAATTAATATTTTGAATTAACTTGAGGAGGAGCGCTATCCTGCTGAGGAATTTGCCCTCTCCTGTGATTTGTAATGTATTGGGCAGCACAAATGTCTTGATACCTCAGGCTGCTGATGTTGCCATCCACTCTGCAGATCTCTCGCATGCCCCTATGCTGAATGTAACCCCAAACCATGATTTTTCCTTCACCAAACTTGACTGATTTCTCTGAGAATCTTGATTCCATGCAGCTTCGGCAGCATTTGTGATGATTGGGACGCAGTTCAACAGATAATTCATCCGAAAAAAATTCCTTCTGCCACTTTTCCAAATGTTGAACTAGAAGTCAAGTTTTTATTTGTTGCTCTTACAAATGGGATCAACGACTTTTGTCAGATAGTGTACATATCGATAAACACAGCACAAGTTAACATAGTGGGAAATAAGCACTGCCACTGAGGGCGATCTACTATGACCAGACACGGCACATTTTTTTTTTTTCTGTACTGCATGTATGAATGGGTGCTAGATAAATATGTGGGGGTGCAAAGAAAATAATTAATATCCATTATTCATGATGTGAAAGCTAGCCTACCTCATCAAAAATATTATTTAGCACACATATTGTTTTATTTAGGCCTATTTATTGAATTATTGTCCAAAGAATTGGCATATCCACAAAACAGACAAGCTTATAATAAGTGACCACAAAACAACAAAAACCTTTTTGATACAAAGGTGAAAGACTACTGAAATGTACAGCATATGCGGTCAGTTTGCATGCCTTTTTATGTTCACTTTCAGCACAGATGTCAAACTCAGTTCCTGGAGTGCCGCAGCTCTGCACAGTTTAGTTTTAACCCTACTTAAACACACCTGATCAAACAAATTGAGTCCTTCAGTTTTGTTTAAAACCTACAGGTAAGTGTGTTGAAGCAGGGTTGGTGGTAAACTGTGCAGAGCTGAGGCCCTCCAGGAGCTGTGTTTGACACCCCTGACTTAACAGCTAGCCATATCTGACTATTTATGTGAGATAGAACACAGGATGTACAATTTGATAACTATTCTATGTTTTTGTCAGTTCAAGTGCAAAAAGAACTGATCGCACGCTGTCTGAGGAAACTAAGATCATGCTGGTATTACGTGACTCACCTTAGTTGTTAACATATTTAGCAAACAATTGGTGTCAGCATCAACAGCCTAGTGGTTATATGCTAGTTTGATTCCCTACTTGTGGTCTTTTGCTGATTCTTCCCACCTCTTTCTGCTACCCATGCTTTCCTGTCTTCACTAGATGGTCTTATAAAATAAAAGGTTAAAAACCCTTAAAAATAATTATATATATATATATA